TCCTAGAAACCTGAGATTCTGACAGTTACTACTAGTACTAATAACTCAAAAGTTATGGTAAAATTTATTCCTAGAAACCTGAGATTCTGACAGTTACTACTAGTACTAATAACTCAATAGTTGTAGTAAACTGTATTCCTAGAAATCCTGAGATTCTGACAGTTACTACTAGTACTAATAACTCAAAAGTTATGGTAAAATTTATTCCTAGAAACCTGAGATTCTGACAGTTACTACTAGTACTAATAACTCAATAGTTGTAGTAAACTGTATTCCTAGAAATGCTGAGATTCTGACAGTTACTACTAGTACTTCACAAAGATTTGTTGTAAACCTAAGAGACTGTTAAAAGAAAAAATTCATTTCAAACTTTTTCAAGGAAGTGGATAATGTCTGTCATTTAAAATTTATATTATTAATGTATTATATGTTGTGTTTTTAATTTTTGTTTGTATCACTTGCTTTCTTCTAGTGAAATAAGACTTGTTGAAATACAAGAAAAACTGTGTTCTGACTCGACTAGAGGCCAGACTCAAGTAGGTCATAAATTTATGGAAAAAATCATTTCAAGTAACTTCCTTATTATACTTATTACGTTAATATGTACGGTGTTAACCAGAAAGATAAGAAATACTTTAGCAGTCATCTTGTGTTTTGTTTTTGAACCACTTAACTTACATACTCCAATATTCAGGGATATTTACCTATGATTGTATTTGCAGTGCCAAGCCTTAGTTGAAGAATATGAAAGTGTTTTGGAAGATTGGTGGTTCCACAAGAGGAAAGAAAATTCAGATTTACACAAGTTTCTTTGTATCGATGTCATGCAAGGTGAGGAAAAACAATACATTTGTTGATCTTCATTCCTGTGCTTACAAAATACTAATATACGAGTCTTTAAAAAAAACCTCAAATTAAGAATTATAGGGGCAATTTTATGGGTAAGATCTAGATTAATAAACTATTTATGGAAAATTATCACAACATAGTTAGCCTAGAACTCATACATTACTTGAATATTTTAAAAGGCTGTGAAAATTAATACAGTAGTTTCCTAGCCTACTTGAGATACTTAATGTTTCTTTCATAGGCCTTGAAAAATAAATGTCTGTAAGAAAAATAGTTAATCAAATTTACAGAAGTGTTATTAGTACTTTTGATTGGTATTTTGTCCCTAACTCTCACTATGCAATTCTAAAATTAGATTTGTGATACTTAAGTTTCCAAGTAGGATATTCTTAAAGCAATTTGAAATGGCATTATTTTAGGTTTGTTTCTTTGTCTTTTGTTTGAAACTTTTATACATATATATATATATATATTTCAATCTAACATAAAGCCAGAAACAAATGTATCTCTTGGAGGAGGAGAAAAAAAGTGGTAGGTGATTATTCACAAAGAGAAAATCATTGCTAGATGAAATTGATGAAAGACATGAAGTATTTACTTTTATCAGGGGAAGGCGTGAAGCGTTTACTTTTATCAGGGGAAGGCGTGAAGTGTTTACTTTCATCAGGGGAAGGTGTGAAGTGTTTACTTTCATCAGGGGAAGGCGTGAAGTGCTTACTTTCACCAGGGGAAGGCGTGAAGTGCTTACTTTCACCAGGGGACAGCATGAAGTGTTTACTTTCACCAGCTAATGATATGGCTGATGAGGTGAATTTCTTACAAAATCTAATAGTTACTAAATGCCCTGTTTCGTAGACTTGTTTTAATGCCCAAGAGAGATACTGTTTAACACTATTTCTTTAATGCCCTGGAAAATGTGTTGCTGTTTAACAGAATGTTTCTTTAATGCCATGGAGAGTGTGTTACTGTCTAGACCAGTGGTTCCCAACCTTTGCCCCACCAAGGACCCCTTTTATTATCATTTTTTTTCCCCCACAGACCCCATGTTTTTGAAAGATTCCGCCTACCCAACAAACTGTTTTTATTAACTAATAATTAACTCGTTCTCCCACTTTTCACTATCAAATAAAAGACGTATATAACTGAGTGTACAATTAAAAAGAACATTAGTGTTAAAAAACTTACTTGTTTAATGAGATGGTATTACCTACATGGGCCCCAGGTTGGGAACCACTGGTCTAGACTATCGTTTAAATGTTCAGGCTAGGGTGTTACACTTCAGGAAACCCTGGATTATGTGTTATTATGTAGAAATTATTGAGGCTATGTACATGTACTAATAGGTGTATCAACTCATCATAGCAGAAAATATTTTAATAGAAAAAAAAAGGACATT